CCACAACCTGGTAATATTTTGGGTACAAGGACATAGAGGAATTTTGGGTAACGAAAAAGAAGACACACTGGTCAGAGGAGGATCTGCAAGACCTTGCCTTGCCAGACAGGGTACTACTCAGGGAAGTGAGAAAGCATACCGATCACTGGCATGTGAGATAAATCCACACAATATTGTAAAAAAACTGCCCATATTATCTTCGAATGAGAAGCATGGAGACATAACCGGAAGTAGGTACTTAAGCAAGGTACCGAGAAAATCCAGGAAAATGTAGCAATGACCTAATTCTTCTGTAAAAAAAGGACCGAGTCAATTGAAACGAATTAAAAACTAGGAAAGTACAATAAGCCATTGCAAGTCTACAGTGTCCACCTGGGAATATACAACCTGATTTTGGGTGCCAGGATAGAAAGAATTCTGGGTAATGAAGAAGCAAACTGGCTAGAATAGGTTCTGTAAGGACATATACAGGGTGTTCGGTTACTCGTGTTACAAACTTTGCTAGTGGATTCAACATTCAAAATGGAACCAAAAAGTCCTAATTAACTATGGTCGAATCTTTCGGAGTTATTCCACTTTTTTTTAAAGATTTCACGACCTTGCTTCAAATAAACAATGATATCTCAAAAAAAATGTTTTGGACAAATCCGTTGATACCACTGAAAACTATGGTAAATTTACAGTAAAATGTGATCAATAATAAACTTGTAAGAGCTCGTGAAATAAGCGTTTTAGTAGAGAGAACTTTGAAAAAAAAATTTTTTCAAATTCACTAATTTCGTGGTCCGCTTGACCAATTATTATCACATCTAAAAACCTTAATTAATTGTAATATATTAGTTGGTCAAGCGGACCACGAAATTAGTGAATTTAATGATTAAAAATGAAGTGTGCTTGACTAAAGCTTTCCGTGGTTATTTCATTTGTCGTCGAGAATCCAACCCGATTACACGACATTTGAAAAATGGCAAAAAGGAGGGAAAATTCAAAAGGTGCGGTTGAGATGGGAAGTTGGTGTCCGAGTGGATCGAGGTCACGATAGCTCAAGTGGTATAGCAGCGGCGTATCAAGCCGAAGATCGTGGGTTCGAATCCCGCTCGTGACACTGACTTTTTTATCACAACTAAAAACCTTTTTTTTCAAAGTTGAAAAATCACTATGGTGATTCTAAACTACTATTTCCAAACCTAGAGACCAGCAAATTTCATAAAACGTACTCCATTTAATATCCTTTTTTAGTGGTGTAATTTCTTCGTTAATTACTTTCTTCAAAGATGAAGAAATTAATGGAGTAATGAAAAAAAACAGTGGCTGATGGATTAGTAAGGATTTTATATTATTGGTAAGGAAAAAAGGATTTTAAATGGTGTACGTTTGCTGAAATTTGCTGATCTCTAGGATTGGAAATAGTAGTTTAGGTTCACCGTAGTAAGTTTTTCAATTTTGAAAAAAAAAAAAATTTCTAATTTCTTGCTACTAGAACGCTTATTTCTCGAACGTTTACAAGTTCAGTATTGATTACACTTATTCGAAATCTTACGTACTTTTCAACGGTATCAACGGATTTGTCCCAAACCTTTTAGTTTTGGAATTATCATTGTTTATTTGAAGCAAGGTGGTGAAATCTCAAAAAATCAGAAAAAGTGGGGTAACTCCGAAAATGTAGTCATTCGGACCAAAGTTCATTAGGAAATTTGGTTCCATTTTGAATGTAGAATCTACCGGCAAAGTTTTTAACCCGAATAGCCGAATACCTTGTATTGTCCCAGAACCTATACTTGGGATAACAAGATTCAACACAGACTCGTCAATCTCAGAATGGGTGCACAAAACATAAAAGCAGAAGTTGTCGAATTCCAAGTGCCAGATGCAGTAAACTCATGTCTAATGACCCCCACACCCAAACTGGCAAACAAATTGATGTAATTAGACAGAGTAAAACTTAAAAAAAAATATTAGTCACTGGCAACTGAGAAAGCATGTACACAACATGTGATGACCCCGTTTATAGGTTATGAAATGAGAAGGAGGAAACAGCCAACCATGTTATCTTGAATGCGAAGCAACCGCTCAATGGAGACATGGCTGGGGTGCAAAGAAAACCCAGGAAAAGGAATGTATCAGTGACAATCAGTTACTTCGTACTTCTTAGGAAAAGGATCGTGTCGATTGCGCGGAACTAAGGAACTAGGAAAGTACAAAACGCCAGAGGCTGCGGTGCTTGGAGAACAAACATGCCGACTTCCTATTATCCACCATTATGTATTAAAAAATTTCAAGCTTTTTTTATTATTCAAAATCCTCCAAGAAGAACCAATTTTTATTTACTTTTCTTTGTCAAACACTAATTTCTTTAAGTTTGTATTCGTGGACAGATTTTTTGATCAAGGTGTTAAGGAAATAACTTGAGAGCCCATTGCTCCATGTTAAATATTGTTTACATAACTATATTCAGCGTCCAACTTTTCAAAAATGTACTTGTTATTTGAAATAGTTCCGTATTCTTTTATCTTGGAGAGTTAAATCAAAACGTTCTGATTCATGAAGAAACTATTCAAAAAATAATTTAATAATAGTCACGGGATTTTTACCAAAAAGGCTCCAGTACACATATAGATAAGGACAGAATTTAAACTTGTTGAAGGTTAACAATTTTTTTAATGAATCAGAAGAACGAAAAAAAGAGACGCAAGGGCTAATGAAAAATTATTGTTATGGCCTGCTCACAATGTTCCCGCATAATTGTGAAATATAAGCACAGATTGTTTTAATATTTTTCTACTTAAATAATAAGGTCAGAGTAATAAGTGACACTAAATTAAATCTTAATGATAAGAAAAACTATTAAACTTTTAGGTTTCAAAAATAAAAGAATCAATCAAAAATTGTTAAGCTTTATGCATAGAGTCAAGTTTTCTCCGATGCAGATGATAAACGATTCATGTAGGTCTGTCAAAGTGAAAGGATAACTGTGTCCAAGGTTGAATCGAACGTTACTCAACACGAGCACTGAATCTCCAAAGTTTCCATTTTGGCAATGAAACCGGCCTTATTGAATTTTGGCAAAAATAAGCCATTTGGCCTGCGATCCTTGCAGTCCGGCTGCACGCTCCGGTTAAATGAGGGTTTTAAAACGGTCTAAGTTTATAAACTTTCTAAGTAGTCCGTTGTAAGTTTCTAAAGGAAGGGGACTTGCTCTTTACAGGTCATCTAACAATAAGACCTAATCATTTATCCTGTCCGTACAAGAAGTTTTTATTTATAATCACGGCTATTATAAGTATAAAGGATAAATTATGCAAAGCAAAATATTTCATACGTTAGCCTCAAAAGGTTAAAAGTTTGTATCTGATACACAAAAGTTCAGACGAAGTTAAGCAGTATGTACAGCTATAGCAACAGCAATAAAATGAACTAATTTCTATTGGAAACATATCTACATATTATTGATTTTAACGGGTATGTACATTTACAGTGCTCAAATTAAATGCTTGTTTTTTAATAAATTTATCGTTACTTCCGCGTCAGACCATTTTTCGTAATTACAGTTTTGAGAAAATGTCTCTAATGAATATAAAATGGGTAAAATAAACATTGGCTGTAAAAATTATATAACGCTCTTTTTTCATTTCATTAATAACGTTTAAAAAGTTAAAATTGATCACGGTATAAAATTGCTCTACGCCTGTCCAGTATTACATGCAAGTCGAATCTGCTAAAAATACAAAGGATGCAGAACAAATTCCTAAGACTAGTCACATCATCTCGCAGACGGACCAGGCTAGATCAACTCCACAGTGAAACAGACATATCTTGGATTTACGATGCGGTTAAGGCACAAACCTTAAATCTTCACTGTAAACTCGCCTCAAACAAGAACGTCCTCTGCAGATCGATTGGAAATTACTACACCCTGATTCCTTGGAAGCACAAACTATTGAAATCGATCCTACACTAAATAATTTGTACATACACGTGTCCACACTCGTTACACTTATCTATCTATCTATTTATTTATTCCTACAGAATAGACGCATGTTCATTGGAGCACACACATGTCCACACGTTACATTTAATTATTTATTTATGTATTCTTAGAGTGTGGATACATGTGAGTTCATGTGCATATGTATGCAATCCCCTATTTATATGTGAATGTATGTACATATTTATTTATTATCAAATTTATTATCTATTTATTTTCTAATTTATTATCTTACTATATAAGTTATTATCTAATTAAATATTTATTATATTTATTTATACTATTTATTCATCCTATTTATTATTTTACTTTTTAAATTATACATATAATGTTTATTCTTAATTTATAAATATGTACATATAAGTTATTTAAATTTGTTATCTCTCAAAAAGGTGATTCTCACTTAAAGTAGTTTTAAATTGGTCACATAAGTTAAAATCATTACTATGAATCAAAAATGACAGCGGTTTTTTTTTATAATCAGTTTTTGCAACGCAGTAACAGGCTAAATAATACAAAATGATTACAATATTAAGGTTGTAGAAGGTTATAAAGCCCAGTGTCTTTCGCACTTCTAACGCAAATGTAAAAAGAGTCAGGTTGCAATCTGCAATATGTAAATATTTGGTCAAATATACTAGTTTTTTTCTTCTTCTAAAAAGTTAAAAGAAAAAGTTCTCTAAGGCAAGTGAGAATAAGCGAATAAAGGTTCGTGTTCATCATTTGTTCTCTAGTTTTCATGGTTCGCTTGACCAATTAATATCTTTCAATTATTAAAGTTTTTAACTGAGATAAAAAAGTCATGTCACGAGCGGGATTCGAACCCACGACCTTCGGCTAGATACGCCGCTGCTCTACCGCTTGAGCTATCGTGACCTCGATCCACTCGGACACCAACTTCCCATCTCAACCGCACCTTTTGAATTTTTCCTCCTATTTGCCATTTTACAAAAAAAAGGCTAAATTTACTAGATTTTAATGTGCTTCTTTGTTAAATATATGAAATTCTTTGTAGGGCCTCGCTGGACAGGCCGGAGCGGAGAAGTTTGGCTTCTCAAAGGACTCGTTCTGCCTCAATGGAAGAAGAAGATCATCACTCTTTCTGCTGGCCTCATGATCATTCAATCGCGTAAGTAGCAATTACCCTGATCTCATAATGACGGGCGTCGAATTAGGGAGTGTTAAAAAAACAGTCCTATATTCGTTTTTACATTCTAGCTTGAGGGAATAAAAAGTGAAAGTTCTACGATATGAAAGTTCGATTTTCTATCATTTTGCACACCGTTTCTTATCGCTTTTTCTCCTTTCGACGCATGTTAATCTTTTAACCGTTTAATACGATCAGCTCACTCAATGTTATCATTGTGAAACCTTAGATTTGTTCTGACACACAATCACAAATCAGTTGCCAACTAATCCGTGATGTATGACTGCGCTTAACCGAACTTTGTTCTAATTTCTGCCGAAATATGCCGGTCAAAAACCTAAAATCAATAAATTGTGTCTCCTCTAGGCTTCTTTTACGGACAGTTTTAATTTTTGTGAACATACATTCTTTTAATATCTGAATAATGTCCCAGTGTAGTAATCGTATTGGGACCTCACCACTTAAAGAAAAAATTTAATTTTCAAATTTATTTGAAATTACTTACAGTTCTAAATTTCTAAAATAGTTTATAATAAATGTATAATAAATAACTTTACTTACGTCTTACTATTTATATAGGTTTGTATGTATATTTTACGTTTTATATTATTTGTTTATATGTGTATATATATACAGTACGTAATTGTATTTTTTTTGTATCATATATTATAATTTATACTTATACTTCTTGTACAATATTACAAAATATTGCAATTTTCCCCGTGTGATATATGTTATTTCAAGTCTCAAAATACATAACATAATTAAATTTAACGATGAGCTGGGTTATCGACCTGCTGGAAACATGAAGGTTTTTTTCGGAGGATCTACGGACAGAGTTGTGAGAACCTAAGTACAATTGTGCTTAAGTACTTCCTTCAAGTATTTAAGTAAATGTGTGAATGTATTATTTCAGGAACATCAGTGAAAGAAAGGGCGGGACAACGAAGTTATTTAAAATTTTCAAGTTCTTCAAAAGTAATTGCAAGTACAAGTACTTTTCCACGTACTTGCAATTTGACTTCCAGCGAGAACAAGTACAAGTAAAATACACGTACTTGTGTTTGTACTTGTGAACATTGAGTACAATTACAAGTATTTGTACCTGTACTTGTATGTTCCTGAGTACAATTAATTGTACTTAAACTTGTACTTGTACTTCCTTACAAGTAGTTGTAGTTGAAACTGTTGTCATTGTAAATTATTAATATCGCAATATTATTACCTCAATTTGAATTACAATTATAATAATTTTTCCCAACTAATGTTTTTAAACAATTTTACTGTATAGCTTTATTCATTCAATTTTATTCTTTTCTCACTAACAATCAATCCTTTCCTATTCAAATTGCCTTTACCGATGTCGCTATAATTAAGTAATCTCATCCCAAATATTTATACAGACATTGTATAAATTTTTACAATTACTACCTATTCCCTTAACAAATATAAAAGATCAATGTATGAGTCTTATACATTTAAAGTCTTAAGAGATCTCATTGAGATGGTTTTCTAGTTTAGAACTAAAATTATATTATAGATTAAAAACATCATAAGTTTAAACATTCTTTAAATACACTAGTAATAAATAATCAAATCCTATATATTAAATGAGACAAATGAAATAAAACTCGAACTCTTACGTTAAGATACTCGTGTACACAAACAAATACATACACAAATATCATTAGTAAAATATTCAAAGATAAAAATTTCAGACGATTCCCTCATCTCCAATATTAACTTTCTTACGGGTTTTTTCTCCCTTTGAACATTGCAGAACCTAATCACTACTTTATAAATATCAAGACCAAGTGGAGTTGATATGGTTTTATGGTATTGTGTTTCTATAATGTTGTAATTATATAGAATCAACTCAATATAATATGTCTTTATTGATACTGTATTTCCACACGGTCGGTTCAAAATGTGAATGCGAATTCAAATTCAAGCTATTAAATTCACAGATTGCTAAGTACGGGTTTAACAGCGGGCAGTTTATGTCTTTCAAAATAATCCAAACAAAATGTGACTAAATATAGGCAAAAACCCCATAAAAACAGTTTTTGCGCAGTATCTATAAATCCATCACACTGGTAAAGTTCCAAAAAAAGAAAGTACTCATTGTACTTAAAGTACAATTACTAACCACAAGTACAAGTACTTGAGTAATTGACCTTAACAAGTACAAGTCTTGAAGTGCATGTAATTGCACCCGGAGTAAACAAGTACAAGTACTTAGACTTGTACTTGTAATTTCAATTATATGTACTTGTACTTGAACTTATTCACTCTATTTCAATTCCAAGTACAGTATTTGTAATTGTACTTGCAACTATTTTTCAAGTACTGTACTCGTACTTTGTACTTAGTACTTGTAAGTACTGATTTTCCAACTCTGTCTACGGAAGAGGTCAACACAGAGAAAAACTTCCTTTCGGTTTTCGCCGAGCTTTCGACAGTTTTTTGTAAAGTGAAGATGACAGTATAAAAACTGTCGAAAGCTCGGTGAAAACCGAAGGAAGGTTTTCTCTGTGTTGACCTCTTCCGTAGATCCTCCGAAAAAAACTTCATAATTAAATTTGCTTAATTCCTATAATTCCTTAATATTTTACAATGCGTTTTTATTTTATAGATTTTTTTAGCACTAGAAATATACAGTATTATTGACGAAAATTTTACTATTTCAAGTAGTTCTCATATACCTATCTCTCCAGAAATTGTACCAAATATGTAAAAGAAACTTTTTGAAACTAGGAAAATATCTAGAATACTAAAATAGTTTGAAAAAGTAGATGTTTTAATCGTAATAAATGTTATTCCAAGTTGCCAAACGTGTAAATTTCTTAATATTTAAAAAAATGCGTTTTTATTTTATAGATTTTTTGCAGTGCTAGAACGATACAGTTTTATTTACGGAAATTTAAAAATATATGTTATGTCAAATACATTTGAAAATTAAAGGATCATTTTTTATTTCATTAACGTGTTTTGTTTTCCCTTTTTATACATTTTCAACTTAAAGATCCTTTTAAAAAATGCATAACTAATTTTGTAGATTTTTTTTTACAAAGATACCAGGAGATCCCTCCTGAGCACTGCAGCTGAACAACTTATTGTACTTTATCCCTGGCTCCATTTTTTGGGAGGCTCGCAACACAAGTGTGAATTGAGCCTTCGGTGTGCCGGTGTTCTTCCATCGAAGAAACTCGAAACTCATTTTTGAAGGGGGTTGGGACCAAATTCTGGGTCGCTGAGATCTCATCCAACTCCTTCCATTGATGAGTGCCGTGTCAATTTCTTTCAATTGCGGCCACCGGTCGTCCTCTTAGGTGTCAGAAAAAGTCCAGAGGCGACGGTGGGGATCGTACCCACGGCCGCGCGATCTACTAGCCGAGAGTCTGACGCCTTAACCACTCGGCTACCGCGGCCCCCATTTTTTACTTGCACATTTATTAAAAAATAAATACATATATATTGTACATATTTTATATTTTATTTCCTGCATAAATCCGGTCCCTAGTTAAGTCAGAACTTTGCGATTTGACGAGAGCGAAAGAGCTGTCATCTGAACATGTCTTTGACTCCAGCGCCTAGTCAAATCCTCAAACCGTTTTGACGGTCAAAAATCAGTCGCACACCTGACTTGAAAACGTGTTGAAACGACCGACTGACCGTTTGAGGTTGGGCTTGTAGCGTGATGGAACGCCAGAACTCAACTGGGCATGGAACTCAACTTTCTGGGACCCCCTCACACCTCAATCATGGAGTCTGAATGGCGTTTGGGCCCCCCTCGGTCAAAGTTCACTTTTTTGAGACCTCACACCTCACTCATGGCGTCTGAATGGCGTCAGCGACCTCCTCGGTCAATGTCCCACTTTCAGGAACCCCCTCACACCTCAATCATAAAGTCTGAATGGCGTCTGCGACCTCCTTGGTCAAAGTACAACTTTCTGGGACCCCGCCAGTTTACCCATGGTTTGGGCGCGTGATGGAACAGATATCTTGTTTGACGGTCTGCTTGTTATAGCCGGCTCAGTTTCGCTGTATTTGGTATTTGTTATCGTAACCTTTGTTACGACGTGTTTTGTACTTCATTTACTCAATATTCTACATTTTTTTAAATCAAAGAATGTTTCATAATTCACGTAATAAGAGATAAACTACTATTTATTTCTAGATACCGAGATTAACAGGTGTCTGGATGAAGTTAAAGGGATAAAAATTGAGCCGTTCCAACAATCCGCAATCCGCCCTCTCCAGGGATTAATCAAAATGCAAATGGGCTAAGAATGGAGGAGATATAATCTGTTTAAAAGTTGCGCCGGGATAGGTCTGATGGAAATTGGTCATTGTCGAGCTGGCGGGTAGCCAGGCGGAATTAAACTTGAGTTAGCCCTGGAGCAGTGTGAGAAACCGTTAATATTACACCTTTTCGATCCTTATCTATTCGAGTGGAATTAAACCGTTTGAGTACTTGTTGATTTGGGGCCTAGATAGCCGAGGGGTTGACGTACGTGATTTACATACACCCTGCTTTCTATTTTGTAAAAAAAACCGAAGACATCAAAGAAAAAAATTAAGCCATTAATTATATTTTTTTTATCACATGTTACAAAAGATAAATTCCTAAGAAATCTGCCATAAAGTATAATTCAGTTTGGATGCATTTGCTAAGACAAATAATGGATTCGAATAAAGGCCTAAGAATATGAATGCAAATCTAAGAAATGACTTCTATTGCCGAAATTGCTTCTATTAAAAAACCTTTCAAAAAGACAGACAAATGGCAAATATTCGAAAACTATTATTGTTCGTTGCTTTTTTCCGTGTAATAATTGTTATTTCAAGACGTAAAATGTTTGAGCTGGCAGAAAAAGGAAAGAAGGCGTACTTGGCTTTTGGTGGTCTGTATGTTGGATTGATGGAGGAGATCCACAGGCCGCTTCGTGAAGTTGCGGTCGCAGTTGGAAATTGTGGAAAGATGGATAGAATTAGAAATTAGTGAAAATACGGGAAAAACGTCGGGTTTCCAGGGTTTTTGTTGAGAAGGGGACAAACTTACGGATAAGAAAGAGAGGATTTTTCAAAATCTAGGGTAGACTGAGCACTTTCAAGGTTTTGACGATGGTGGGTAAGGACTGAGGGGGCGGAATTAAGATTGGTGGAAGTGCAGGATAAATAGGCAAAGTACACATGACTCTTTCCTGAGCCCAAAGATCATAATATAATTACATATATATATATANCCCACCATTTGAATTTTCCCTCTTCGCCATTTTTCAGTTCAGTCAGTTTTTATCTCAACTAAAAACCTTAATTAATTGAAAGATATTAATTGGTCAAGCGGACCACGAAAACTAGTGAATTTAATAAGTTAAATGAAGTATATCTTCACTAAAGCTCTTCGTGACCATTCCATTTGTCGCCGAGAATCAAATAGATTACACGACATTTGAAAAATGGCAAAAAAGAGGGAAAATTCAAAAGGTGGGGTTGAGATGGAAGTTAATGTCCGAGTGGATCGAGCCACTGGTGTTTCGGTTTTTATCTTTTTTTAAGGAAAAATTGGGAGCTTCTTGTATATGTAGCTGGTTTAGTTAATCGTTGTTTTCATATTAACTTTAACTAACACTAATACCACTAACTTTTTCAATTTATTTAAGAATTTTTACAAATGAATACAGGATTTAAAACTTGCTTGATTTGTGTGTTGGAATTATTTAAGTGTGATATACTAGGTGTGCGTGTTTTTGTTTATTCGAACCACGGATTTTATATTAAAAATATTCATTTAGTGTTCGAATATTTGTAAGAAATTTTCTTAAAGGCTTTAAAAAACAGTTCGACTACATTTGATGAGAATAGTCTGACTTAACTTAAAAAAAACAAAAAAAAAACATTTACTATCATAGCACTCAAGGTAAAACATGCTGAACGTGTTTCAGACAAGGTTACAAGTCCATATTACATATAATTACTCTTAACTGTGAAAAATTTGTCATATGTGTAATTAAGTTTTCTTTTAACATTTCATAGTGGAAGGTGGTGACTGGGGTAAGGAGGCGGTCCTTGTGGAGGCGGTGGGGACCGGGGACGGGCCTAGAGGCGGCAGATCCGTCCTCAAAGTCACATCGCAAGGTCACAGATCTCTCTATCTCGGTTTCGATTTGCCCTGGCAGCAACGTCTCTGGCACTCATGGCTCAAACAGGTACTTGAAAAATGAACTGATAATACGAAAAGTAGATAATACATTTTTAAAATATTTGCTTAGACCACATACCGACGAGATTTAACTCTGCGATATATTAAATTCACTAGTTTTCGTGGTCCGCTTGACCAATTAATATTTTTCAATTAATTAAGGTTTTTAGTTGAGATAAAAAAAGTCAGTGTCACAAGCGGGATTGGAAACCAAGACGTTCGGCTAGATACGCCGCTACTCTACCACTTGAAAAATGGCAAAAAGGAGGGAAAATTCAAACGGTGGGGTTGAGATGGGAAGTTAGTGTCCGAGTGGATCGAGCCACTGGTGTTTCGGTTTTTATCTTTTTTTAAGGAAAAATCTTCTTGAATGTGTGAGTGGTAGAGTAGAGGGATATCTAGCCGAAGATCGTGGGTTCGAATCCCGCTCGTGACATTGACTTTTTTATCTCAACTAAAAAGCTTAATGAATTGAAAGATTGGTCAAGCGGACCACGAAAACTAGTGAATCTGCGATCTCTGCTGACTTAGTTTGGTTGCCAACAGGAGAACCTGATTTATTATGTAAAATAGCAACATGTTAACTTTTAAAATTTTCAATTTGTTTATTTTTTATGTGGGTTCGCACCTGACGGGGTCTGTTATGACTTCCGGGGAGTCGGTGTTTTTAAACTTTGTTCAATATTTTATGAGAATTTGCAATTTCTAAAATAACATGTTTGACGATACAATTTACAACTACTTGGAGGCGGGAAAGTAATATCAATGTCCTATTTTTATTTTTATTTTTTTTTTTTTTTTGAGGGGGGTTATGATACTATATTACCTATGTATTCGTTTTGTTTTTGTCTTACAACATTTTCCTACTTTACTTCACAAAATAGACTTCACTACCTACTCCCTAGAAAGGAGGTCGTGGAGCCATTTCCTCTTAAGACACTTTATGGAATTGTAGGGATGGATTCTGTTCTACAACTAGACACGAGGCTATTAAGGTAACGGGAAAATTTATTGCAGAATTTCCTAAATTTTATAGGAACCAATTTTTGGATAATTGGGATTTTAAGCTCTAGAGGAGAGAAGAATTGGAGACACGAACTGAGTACTTTAGAGTGAAAGGATTGGAGGCGTTGAATACTGGAAAAATTATCAGCTCCAACCAGTTTTTTACAGCATGTCCAAAGTGGTTTAGTAGCGTTGTGTAGATTGTAAGTTTTTTCTTTCGTCGTTACCTTGAATTGTTATTCTGAAAATTTAGTAGAAGAGACCCTCTGTTAAGGTCTAGTCGTTTCAATCGCATATTTCACGTTAAGCGTGAGTCTAGTGGGACCCAAGGTTGGATTTGAGTTTGGAACAGTATTATAGCACATTGTTTGAGATTTGCTTCGGAGTTTAAATGTGACATGGACGCACACGCTTTGATTTACGTCTAGTTTACCAATGTCCTGTACATAAGATATGTATCTGCTGATTCTCCGAAGCACACGCAGGATCCGGTATAGAGGACATGGCTGTGTCATCGGCAAAAGATGGAAAGAGGGTGGTTGGTGTAGTAGGAACATTTGCAGTATAAAGGATAAAGAGCGAACTGTCCTGCAGTACTCCGGCGGTCATAGAGATTCAGTGTAACATGATCCTTGCCGGACCCGAAAGAACCTATTTTAGATAAGAGTGGAGGATTAAGTAGAGTGTATTCAGGACTCCCTTTAATGTGTACGGGAGACCCTTAGGTCACAAGTCACCCATACGATATTCTTTGCTCTTAAAGGAGATGGATACACGGTCTACAACGCGAAACATTTGCTGGCATGTGTTATGATAACGGCGCAAGCCAACTGATAATCTGGGAGAAGGTTAGTGATTTAACTTTGGTAATAGTTAAGAAGAATTTTTTCAAATACTTTAGGCATGATGAAAAGTATGCTAATTAGACGATATTTTGATGCTTTTTGTGCTGGTTTGCCAGATTTCAGGAAGGGGAAGATATTCGATTATTTCCAGAGTAACGGAAAATTGGTAGTGCGGAATAGACAATTGTAGAGGTATATGAGGAATACAATAGCTTTTTGAGGGAAGTGTTGGAGATTTGGAATGTAATTAGGTCAAAACCAGTAGCTTTGCGGTTTGGAAATGTGGCAGGATATATTTGACCTCAGCTCGTGGCTTTCGGAGGGAGGCTCATAGGAAAGGGAGATATGACGTATTCGTCAATATGTATTTCGAATGAAACATTGTCAGCCTCAGAAGGAAAGTTTTCAAAAATACGCCCTTCTGCAAGTATGCTAAACAAACTTAGGACCCTTAGAGTGACGACTTGACCGTTGCGCCCACCAACCCTTCAAAAACAATTTTTATTTAAAAAAAAGATACGTCCTACTCATGTGAAATCAAACAATACTTTTTTTTCGAACGAGGTTTCGTAAAAGTAGAGGTTAACCCTCGAGGTGTAATGCAGGGCCGTTGGATTCGAACCCGGGACCTTTTCCTTACAGTACAATGAGCGCCGTGTCAACGCCTAAACGTTGTGGCCAATGACGCCCCCCAATACTGATATTTTACTAATTTTTCCGAGTGGCCCTTACTTTCAACTTCAGGGTCCTTAGAGTATAAAGTATCGTTCTAAGCACTAAGTCATTGCTCTGAGTATATAGAAAACATTTTTAATAATGTACTTTTACCATTTAGGGCTTTTTTTATTATATGTATTCTACATGCTTCATACAATACATATGAATTCTACTATATTCTACATTCATACAACATTACGTGTAATACAATAACCAGAAATATAAAATATATAAAATGTGTGTNTATTATGGCGAAAAGACAATTACTGAAACTGTTAAGTAATAATAAATAACGTTAATAAGTAGAAACTAATTAAAAACTAAATAAACAAATAACTTAACATTTAACTAAATTACATTAAAATCTATTGCTTTAATGAATGTGTCAAAATGTTTTTAATATTCTCTCTTCATGAGCTCCTTCTCATCAGGTGGCCACTTCTTGTCTTGCAGTAGGCACTTTCGTATCCAAACATTACGCAGTGGTTCTATTAGTGGGCACTCATATATTAGGTGTTTAATGCTTTGTTCTACTGGGATATTAGGCAGGCATGATGAAGGCTATGAGGATGAAGATTCTCTTACATGAAAGCGGAAAAAATAGCTGTTGTTTGGGCCGTGTTCGGTTAAGATGTGCGTTAGTGGTGCGGCTGGAATCTATCGGCAACTTTGGGAAAGAACTTTCCTGTCTGCTTTCCATTATATGTACTTGACCAAGCATTTTCCCATTTTTCCAGGCTCTCTTCGAAAAGTTTATTTATAATTGATGACTTTTGAAGTTTGTTGTATGCCAAATTCAAACTCTCGTCAGTAGATGCTAATTTGGCCAGTCTGTCAGCTTCTTCATTTCCCTCTATGCCAATTTCCGCAATGAGCCTTAACCCAGCCTAGTTGTACATTAACCTTCTGTTTGACTAGAGTTTGAATAATTTTCCTTATTTGCTGCAGATTATTATAATTAATAATTGATTCTAAGGGCACTTGACTGTCACTTAAAATGATAAATTTGGCAATATTCCCTTCTGATTTTATTCATAGCCCATTGCAAGCTCTTCAGGATGGCCAAAAGTTCGGCTTGATTATTGGAACATGCCTGATGCAGTCTGTATTTTTTTTCATAAATTTTGGAACCATTTTGGAAATAAACAAAAGCACTACCTACACCAACCTCTGATTTGCTTCCGTCAGTATATATAGACATATAATCACCATCGGCCATTTCGGTAGTACGTAGATACTGGATGTCAATAGCATCTGCCGGGTGTTTCCACTCTTTATATTGCAATGGTCTATCATATGTTGTGCCTTGAAGCTCAACATTACCATTTTTCACTATTTCGTGTAATTTTTTAAGTTGAGCTATCTTTATTCCTATAGGCATTATATTCGCAACAACACAAGCCGCTTCATATGAAATGGTATGATACCCTTTAATCATCCTTATTGCCATGATTCTTTGCACTCGCTGCAGTTTTGCCATTATTTTCATATTATTTATAACAGAATCAGCCCACACAGGCGAAGCATAGGTAATCCTCGGAACCACTGCACCATCATACATCAATCTAAGGGCCTCGGAGTTTAGTCCCCAGCTTACTTTTGTTGATGGCCCACCATTTAGGGCTTGTGTACTACCGAAAGCACAGTCTACTGCGCCAAAACATAACTGATTTTAATAGATATAACTTTCATTGTGGTTCTTCTTATGTCCCATCGTGAAAAGAAAACCATGAACCTTTCAAACTCCTATGTTATAAGTTCACCACGCTTGGATTCTTGCCTTCTGTTGGCTGATTGTCAAAATAATTGCTCGGCGGATTGTTTTTCGCAAAAATTATGTTCTACTTATTGCTTTCTAAACAAAAATCTAAAATAGTCAAGGAATTATCCCCATAATTAATCCTCATTTCTATTGTTCCATCAAACGGAATTTCCTTTTTTCCAAAGGGTCGTACTTTCAGACAACACATTTTCCTCCGTCATTTTCAGAATTCGTTAAGTTCATAGAAGATTGTCGTCACTTAATAGAGTTGGTTATTCTCGTTGTTCTTCAGGCTTGCCCATGATGGATGTTAATAGACCTATTTAACTATAAATACAAGAATGAGAATGAATTTAAAAGCATGCAAATGTGTCTTTTATTTACACGAGGTTTCATAAACGGTTATTTATTGTTGTGGCGTTGTGCTCTAGGCAACCTGCTACGTTTCATAAATACACATAAGCACATCAGTAAAAAACATAGAAATTCCTCCTCAGTCATCAAGCGAATCTTTCACGAGAAAAATTAATAACGAAGAGGAAATTTCAATTTAATCATTGAAGAGGATTTTATGTAATCTTCTTTATAAAAAAAAATTGTACACAGACTAGCAAACTGGGCAATGTAATCCGGTAACATGTATCATTAAAAATAATCCTCCTATTGTAAAATCAGTCC